ATCCCCCCCAGCTCCGCCACTACTAGTAGCGAGTACTACTGATGTACCTAATATAACAGATATATCACACCTTATGCTCATGCAATCTTCTCTGTCTCTGTAGATTTAGTGTAGCTTGTTTATCTTGTTTCTTCATCTGCTGTTCAGCATTTTGCAAGGCATGCGTACTTCTCAATTCTCGTATTAATTCTAAACGCTTCTCTTTACCTTCAAACATCTAAAAAAATAAAGTGTAACATAGTACATGTATTACAAGTTAGAGTAAACTGCTCTTATTCCATAATTATTTTTTGCAAATTCTGTGTCAGGAAAAAACACTAAATTTTGTAAGAAATCTAGGACAGTGACTTCTCTGAAATTTAGTCTTGCATTGAGAAAATAACTTGTAATGATGAGAATATATTTACGACATCATTCAAGACATAAATAAATGAAAACCCACCATATTTTGTATTGCTCTACCACGAATAACTTGCTGTAAAAGAATAATAGACAATTCTCTCTCTTCTTCCATTTGATCTGGAACTTCAACCGATGGTGTTGGTGGTCTGGGTACCGGCTTCTCAATCTTTTGTAGAAATCGTAGTGGTTTGGGTGGTTCTAAGGCTTTCGTTCTGGCATCCTTTATAACACTGTGGATTTCAGTTAGCTCTTTTCCTCTACGCTGTGCACGCTTTACAAATCCACTTTTTCCAGCACTTTTGGGTTTAGGTGCTTGTATCCTGGGTTGGGTGACGTAGTCTGGCAGCGAGTTCTCCAGCTCCATTAGTCCTAAGTTGGAATATATTTACAAGAACATAAGGAACTAAAATTGGGTATTGTAATATAGTGATGTACAAAGACATGTAAAGTACATTGTTTGTTTACATGAAATTCAAAACATAATGCCAATTTGGAAGAACTGTGTTTTATATCCTTGCAATTTATTCTTCACTGGGATTTATTTTATATACATTAAGTAAAACTCCATGAATCTCTGTGTAAAACAATAAAAATTCTCAATGTTTTCAGGAAACGGTATAATTTAGATTTATGCTTGTTACTTTTTCTACATCACAAATTATTCATTATGCTTGGACACTGAAGCATTTGATGAGAAAACCTTGTGACACTTATGTAACAGTGTAATTATTATAATATGAATACTTTATATTTATTTGCAGTTCCCTGCAAAGTATTGGGGCAACAAGTTAGCAAACTTACTCAATAACTCACCAACCACTTAGTTTTTTTACTAAAGCAGATGACCAACAATTACCTCCTGATCTATCACAACTAAATGCTAGGAATTGCTAAAAAACATTTTGAATAATGTTAAGAAGTTTTTTAAGGACTGAAAAGTATACAAATGATTTGCATCAGTCAAGTTGCCCATGAATGAGTTAGCAAGTTTTCCCCCATACTTATGAGACTTGTAAAAGTGAACCAAAGAATAAATTGGCCACCCTATAAGCTTACCTTGGTATGTACTGAGGTATTTACTCTTGACAAGAAACTGTTCTGATCCTCTGTCTAGAAAGACACCTAACCTTGTCATTGGTGCATACACTTGACTTCCAAAGTTAGAATAATTCTGAGTAATATTTCGCCGTTCCAACTTTCCTTCTACTTTACGCCGTGTTTCAGTCAGTTTACGAATAGCTGTAAAAAAGAATACAGAAATATTAGTTTGTCACAAACATATCAGAAGATGGACAACTATATTTACTATATTAAAAATACATCTTCAATAGAAGCACATGTAAACTATGTATAGTATTTGTTATTCACCGAATCATGAAAATATTTGAATTTACTTCATTTATTTAAATGTATGCACTACTAATAGAGCAAATACATTACATCAAAGTTTGTTATTGTTGTCTATGGGAAGTTTGATTGTAGTGTGAGACCTGTCTATTACTACTTAATTACTTAGTAAATACACATTACTAATCTGAGGTGAGAATATATCATACTTTTGATATGTTCATTACGAATTCTTTTCACCCTGTCTTCTCTTTCTTGTTGTTTTTTGGACCATAATTTGTCCAGTCTCTTAGCGTTCAATTCTTGGTGGTTTTCTTCTCTTTCTTTCAAGATTTGCATCAAGACTTCTAGTCTAGCTTCTTGTAATCTGTAAAATATGATAATAAAAGTGAAATTGTCATACAGATGAACAACACTGAGTCACAACAGTGTGAAGATATTTCATTTGAAATATGGGAATTTGGAACACTTATTAGTGTAGACTAGAATAAAAGAAATGAAATTCAGTTAGGCCAAAAAAAGTGTTTTTGTCATTGTTTGTCAGTATATAACCTGTGCTACATTTTTGGCAATTTTGTGTGAAGTCTGTGAAATGTGCCACATACAGTAGGGATGAAGGAAATTTTTGTGTTTTGTTTCACAGGATGTTTGTTGATCCAAATCAATCTTTAATGCATTTATTAAAAAGCATTACTTAATAATCCTATTTGTCTATGAAGCAATGATCTATTGGATTACCTATTAATAATATTTTTAAACTAGCTTTCACTGCACTTAAACTTACTTTTCAATCTCTTGTTCTCGTAATTCCCATTCTTTTCGTTCCATCTCATCCATCATTTTTCTGCGTTTATCCAACTGATTTGTATCACTTAAGGCTGGTAATGTTGCTTCCCATGCTCTCTTAGCTCTAGCCCTTTCAATCATCTCCACTTCAGCTAACCCAGCTGGTAAACCATGTCCATGTGACAGCGTAGCAAGTGTAAGCAACTCAGGCTGAGACCCAGGTCTTACTACGTATTCCGGAGTATATGGATCTGTCTGTGCTTCACTATCTCTGTAATCTGTCTGTATTTCTACGGTTCTTGTCAGTGGTGTCGGTGGACGTGCCATAGCTTCATCGGGTGCAGATAGAGGATCAACTCTAAATACAGACAAGGTAATTGCAAAATACATGTTTGTAGGCAGTGAATTAAAATTCATACAGTGACATTATTCCTATCTTTACATCATCAACAAAACTCAAATAAATTAATACAATGTCACCTAGTAATAG